AATGCTTTTAATTTCATTCGCAGCGAAAGTGATGTTTTTTGCTTCTTCGTGGTCATTATGCGCTCTTCTAAACAAAAACCTACTGCTACTTATATAGTTAACCTTTATGCTTTCATCCTTGCCGAAATAGTCCTATGAAATTCAAGTTATTGTGCATTTTTAACAAAAAATAAGCGGAAGTAAGGTGAGGACGGCGCGCTCGCAAAATCGCTCCTGTCCCACGAGGTGCAAAATGCCAAAACATGCGATGTCGTCAACGTGTTAAAGGCAGTGAGTACGATAACACTGGACACGGGTTCGGAATGGAAGTGGGAGCGCGAAATGGTGAACTAATTGTCAAAAACCCGCGAAAGTTACCACGGCTTCGTTTTCAAGGACGAGTTCACGAATTATTAGGATGGTAAGAAAGTCCTGAGCCGTTTGACACTTTTTTGCTTTACTTTTTTATTCCGCGTACAATGGAATCTACTCAACAATATAATCACCATTGTTACTCACTACAGAGTCCCACCTAATGGGCAGGTCAGCGACCCCCTTCTCCCAGAACTGAGCAGACTGAGAGTCAAAGAAATCGCTGACCGCTCTTTCAACGTCTTCAACTTTGGTGAATTTTTTCTTCGCTAGGAATGCCTTGAGGGGATGAAATAAGTGATAATCAGAGAGGGCAATGTCAGGGGAATAGGGTGGGTGGGGAACCGCGTCCCAGATCAGCTCTTCCAATTTTGCACGGGTCTCTTTAGCTATGTGGGGCCTGGCGTCATCGTGGAGTAGGTGGACAGAAGTTCGTCTCGGTCGTTTTTCTCGAACAGCGTCCGCTAGTTTCTGGAGCTGACTGGCGTAAATGCTGCCGGTAGGTATGCCCTTGCGGGAGCAGCTCATAATACAACATTCCTCACGAATCCCAGAGGCAGCAAAGAAGACAGCTTTTGGGGTGAAGGTCCGATTTTGCTTGTGTCGGCGGGTCTTCTCCTCGAGGGAGCCACACGGCACTGTGCTTGTTAGAATCGTAGAGGACCCAACTCTCATCTCTCGTAATCATGCCTTCCAAAAACTCCTTTCGGTGCGGACAAAGAAGGAGAAACTGACAAATGGGTACCCGCCTGAACCGCGTGCTATCGGTCAAGACATGAGGGATCCATCGAGTCGGCACTTTCCTGTGGCGAGGATGTGGAGGGGACCAAGAACTGTGGGACGTCCTACATCGCACACCTCGCGCTGCAACTCGTTCGCCGACTCTGCCTTCTTACCGCGCGACAGGCCTCCCAGGGTTGGTACCCCTAGAGGACATAATATATCAATCTTGAGAGGGCGTGGCTCAATGAGAAAAAACATGCTCGAAAAATCTTCGGCGAGCATTTTTGACCGCAACTGTACTTTGCTGCGAATTTTATGTCGTACGCACAACGGTCTATCTGTCTTTCCACTAGGTAGCTTTGGCCTTCTTGAGTTTTCGACCTTATCGTGGATTTCTCACTAAGACTCACGGAGGAATGGAAAGCGTGGATGCGGTGGAAGGAATTCGATCTGGAATGGCTTCGATCCCGACCCATGCGCGAATTATTTGAAATGAATCACCATCACACTCCTCCTTCGCCCGTAAGGCATTGTAAAAGGTTAGGTCAAAAGGCTTCCCTTCCAAATGATCAGCTGAAATAAAACCAGAGCAAGAGTGTCACGGTGTCGAAATCGAATGCAACAGTTGAGACCGTGCTGTATGAAAAACCAGTCATATCCCAGACACCAATGGAACCCAGAGAGGAGCAGACATTGGAAACCAGGAAGGAGCAGAACAGAAACTCTGAAAAACCGGAATACGGAGAAAACACCGCCTGGCATTGTCGACCATTGCGTTGAGCAAAACTCAAGTTCCCTACGACAACTCTCCTATCAATAAAGCTCTTCTTACAAACCCTATACCCGTACATCACCTCCTGCGATAGTCGAAGTAAGTGCATAAGTACAGCCTTGTTACCCTTAAGATAAACCGTGAAACAACAGCCTGTCACGACCGCAGAAAATCCGAAAAGTATGAAATTTTCTGAAATTTCCTGGATTCCGAGAAAATCCCTCATCCAAATTCTTCACAGATTTCCTATACAGCAAAACAATTTATTTCCACCATTTGCAAAAATCACAAGTACTACCCAATTGTTAAGAATGACTCAACGGATGGTCGACCCTGTGTCCCATAGTGCTTGTTCTGTGTTTCTTCATTTTGGCTAGCTATCTTTTATGAGTTGTCTGCGCCCGCTTATCACCGAGCCACCATTTCCCACTGCTTCAGCATTCATTAGGGACCGAATTTCGCCAGTGACGTCATTGAGCGATTAGCATTAACGAGGTGGAATTTTTTGAGCCGGAAAACGCACAAGTAATGTTTTGAAAAAATCGAAAGAGATGCAAAAGCAGGAATGTTTCCATTATGTGTCATGATAATGAGCAAGAAACCACTGCTAATTCGGAAAGAACAACGAGACGGCAGGGTGAATATCGCTTCGAGGATTCCTCAACGGCACGTCGAGGATTTTTGCCTGATCAGTTACGATCTCCCGCGCGGACATTCACACTCGCCATGCGCGAGCCGTCTGTGCTCTCCGCGCGTACGTTCACTCTCGGCACTACTCTCATAGGGCCCTTATTCACCCTGCTGGACGGTAGAGAAACGAAACGGATGGATTCAGGATCGTGAGTTCCATGCTCACCTCAGCCAACAACTTCTACGTTTCAAGTTAGGCTCCTACTGATGAGAGGCCGAGCAACAGTGATGCTTTTCGCACGCATTCGACCATATCGATCATTCTATTCACATCGTACCTCGGTTCAACCTAGGTTCCCCATAATTGTCGAAATTTCCTTTTTGAAAGCTTTCAGTAAGCTAAAATCCCTATACCAAAGTCGAAAGCGCTGTAGTTACAGATCTAGTGTAGAGTACAAAATTTGGCTCAGGCTGGTGTCAGAGTACGCGATCCGTCGCGCGAATCGCAATCGCAACGCCCCATTTGAACATTTGAAACATCGAGTATGAATGCAAGTAGAATCATGAACAGTCGTCATTCAATCATCACCATCAAGCAGAAATGGCGGCAGGATTGGAGAGCACCTTACAGTATTGATCACGGCGCCGATTTCTGCGATTCGTCGCGCGACAGACCGCGGACTTTGACACCAGCCCTACAGACGCTTCAGTTGAAATGAGGTGAGACCTGTTTACGCCATGTATGCGTATAAACAAAAAAAAACAGTTGATGGAAACAAAATTCTCTGCAGTTCCAAGCTCTGAACGTTGTGGGATAATCAATTCAAGCTATATGTTACAAATGGAGCCGTACGAATTCCATTATGGTACGGTCATATTGTGCTACCGCTGGTGCAAGTGTGCACCATATTAGTGCCGAGTCGTTGTAACCACTGCTTTCCCCACCTGTGGCTGACGTTGCCCGAAGCAGCTCATCCACTGGACAGCTAAAAGAGGATTCCACGATAAGTTGGGGGGGGGAGTCAAAAAAGGATAGCATACTGTACACCCAGCGGTTTAGCAAAGCCGTGCCCGCGCCGCTCTTGGCCCTTAACGCCCACCATGGGTAATCCCTCGCCGTCTGACTCCAGCTGTCTAGTAGAGTGAGCGTTGGGTGATGAAAGCACCATTGATGCGACTCATATCAATTAATGAGAAGATCAATGGGCAGAGGAGGGACTAGACTTCTGTTGGGTTGCCTTTTCATCCGCAACTCCGCCTTCAAACTGCCTCACTTCTAAGCGTTTCTGACGGCAAAAGAAAACAATCTGGAAAATCAACCAAGGACCTGAGTGGGAAAATTTGCAATCACTGCGTTCACAATCCCTGGAACAGGGAAAATTCCGCCAATCGTGATAAACTGTAGCTCTCATGACAGTGACATCAGTGCACACTTCCCTCCGACATGGATCCTGTCACTGGAATAGGGCGAAAATCGCTTCGGTGACAAATCGTGCGTGCGCTTTTGGTGTCGGTGCGCTAAACCGCTGATCAGGTGCGAATGAATTGCGATTCCAGACAAGATTAATGGCAACTCATCGACGACAGTGTACAACCGTCGTCATCGTCAATGACCGGAAATCATCGTGTCATTCGCCGACTGTGACGTCATCAGCGGCGCAACCTCCTCCAACCTCGAGAAGGCTGTGACAGCTATGCGGGGTAGTTACGGTACAATTTCGCAAAATGTGGGCGTTCGCGCCTCGCATGGCCCAAGTATCGTAATTCCGATCTGGTACTTCTAGGCCAATTAGGGTCGGCTAGTCCGTACCCAAGTTTTCAAGGGGGATTAAAAAGCCGACCAGCCCATCAGGTAACCCCGCAAGTGGTTGTTGAGGCCAGAAACACAATCAGTTTCTCTGAGTGCAAGTCGAATGGGTAGCGCAACCCGCACAAGATATCAACGCCAGGCATCGAAACAGTTTAGAAGGAACTGAATCCGAACCCATTTACTCTCACCAGGTGGCTCTATTTCCGATTCCATCTGCATTTTGCTCATATCCTTCACCATCATTGCTCATCGTTGAATGGGGGTTACACGATAACAACAAAGGCGAAGAAGAGGAAATGTACGACGTCAGAGGCAGGCGGCCCCCTTACGGGATGAAACGGTGCGCATTTGCCTCAACGACTCAGAAAGGCCTGCCCGATCCGCTCGCGCCGCTGCACGCCCACCGATCGGCCGAGCTCTCGCCGTCTGACTCTAGTCAACTCTTGGAGGGAGAGCGGTAGCACTCATGAGGTCAGCGCTAATGAGACACCCCTAACGCGCAAATCAACGAGCAAAAAAAGGGTCCTATTTCTTGGGTTCTGGGCTGTGTCTCATAGTTTTTCCTTTGTCTCTGTACGTCTGATCACCACTACCTTCCAATGCTATTCTTTCCAATGGGCTGCATTTTCATCGTAAACTCCGCCTTTAAATGAAAGGCGTATATGAAAGCTATCGGGAAACATGTCTTTGATAACAACCGCGTTTGATGCTCTTGGCTCGCAGGCGTGCCACTCACCTCTTCACATCAGTTCAAATTTACGTACACAAAAACTTCCCATGGACATGATGATATTACGATTATGAAAAATATCAGGGTCTCATCCGGTAAGAGGGGGCATTGCGGTGCACGGTCTGCTCTAATGCCAATTTGGCTCAAGGAGTCCGAGCTGCTATCAGCTTTTTTCCTATGTTATTTCTTCAGGTGTTTTGTGTAATGTATGTATTCTTGTACTAGATGACATTAACGTCTACGAGAAGTGAATATTCACCTAGTCAGTAGGTCATGACTAACCCTAGGAGGGGATGAAGTCCCCGGGAAAAACCAATTGCTCACGGACCCGGGTGCTCCTTCCTCTTCTAAGGCCTAGTCCTGAACGTCTACAATAAAAATATATGCTTTTCTTGGTCTGAAATGCTCTAGATCGCCATGCCCCCCTTACTGGATGAAACCCAAGTATCAGAGTCAGAAATTTAAGCTCAGAAATTTAGGGCGACCAACCCTATGCATCTCTTGAAATTAAGCAAGTGATTTACTTACTGCGCTCAGCACATTATCACATTTTTTATAAATCGTAATAGTAGGAAATTAAATGGGAATGCTAACAATTTATGGCATTCAGCCGTTTGGCAAGCGTCCAGATAATGATATGAAGAGTGAAAGGTCAGATAGCGAGGACCCGCAACAACAGGCGTCTGGAACCCTATCCCAACATTATTTCAATGGGAGATTTATGTGAGAAAGTTGAATGACAAACATCACAAATGTTAAACAAACACATACACTTGTGATTCACTACGAATGTCATTTCAAAGGCATCAAATTATTACAGCCAATTCATTTTGTCTCGTTGAAACCGAAAAAAAAACAGGTAAAAAACGTTCATAATAAACGAACCTTCAAAAACGAGGAGAAAAATACACTGAGAAAGATGAGAATACGTAAGTGTCGTTGGTTAATAATGTCCATATTAGAGATCTGTAAGCATTAGTGGTTTTACATTAAGGAAAGCTAAGCAGATGCCATGTGAGTCGGAAGGTCCGCGCTGATTTCGAGTTTCGATCTGTATTTGACTTTGATTTTCGTCCAAGCCGATGCTCTTACTTCTGAGGCTAAGAAGAAGCCGGGTGAGAGACAGAAAAATCGTTGTCGCCAAAGTTCGTTCTACTCGAAAAGGTGATCCTTTCGCGTCACATAAGCGACAAACGTTCAACACATTGAGGGCAGCGTGACGCACTTGCGCGTCACGTCCCGGCGCAAACGAGAATCGGTTTCTCTATTTACTTGAATTTTTCTTGTTTAGAACAATTCTTACCCTTTATCGGATTCGCAGAACAATACACACATTTCTAGTAATGGGATTAATTAAGCGCTAAAGACTTTAATGAAAAAATAGGCAAAAGAAGTCGAGATGCACCCACAACAGCTATCGTCAATGTACGAATGGAAAAAAGTATGGGAAGGCCTTGTCACAAAACCGAAGAGGAAAAATTCAACAGATCAGCCAGAGCGGTGAAAATCGAAGATCAAGCATAGATCAAGAACTGGACAGAACACCATCCACTACACGAGAAGGGTGGGCCTGTTCTGCAGAGCATCAACAAATGCGTCTAATGAGAGTGAGCAGGACTTGTTGCCCGGTGCATTGGAGGATCAAGATTGGGATTAAATTAGATATGCTACGACTCGATAAGTAGCAATAGGGACTCGGCGTCATCGAAAAAAGGCCACGCCTCTCTGTGATAAGACACGCGCTGATGGATTGACGGACAAACCCTAACTGCGGTCATTTTAGCAACTATCACTGTGGCTGAACAACAATAATTGTTCGCTTTGTGTTGCCACACAAATGGGCGCTCCTCCTCAAGTGATCCGAGCTTAATGATGCGCGAAATTCGCCTCAGGAGTCACCGATGATTCAGAGATCGGCGACGTCACGCGCCCACTGCGCCCTTTGATGAGGGCCGACGGCTGTGAACGGTCCCGACAATGGCGGACAGGCTGCGCTGAAATTGGCCGGAAGTGCGAAGTGAAAACAGAGAGGGGGTCTATTCCATTAGGGGGGGGGTGGGCAGGTTACGCGTTTAACACTTTGGAGACCGCGCGTGTTTTACGTTCCGCGGCCGCGCGGGACTTCGGTGAAATTTTTAGGGATCTTATCTAGCAAATTCAAAAGAAGAACCCACTGTATAATGCAGAAGAAATCTTATCGGATAAAATGGAAAAGAAAATGAATGAAAAACCTAATAATTGTTTTACGAAATACGAACAGAAAGGTCCTATACGGTTGGAGGACTGCAGCCCACATATGGGCTGCGCGGGCTCCAAGGTGTTAAAACCACGGATAGGACATATTCACCCACTGTAAAGTTACGACTAAGCCTTGGAAAGGAATGAATAAAAATTGCCAAACTGGCATTAGATCAAACTGTGCACTGCAATGCCCCCTCTTACTGGAATAGACTCCAAGAAAGGTAGCAGTGACTGCAGATTTACGTATACTACCGGGATA